CTGGGGGCCTGAGGGTTTTTTGGAGGCCTCCAGAGGGCCTTTTGGAGGCCTCTTGAGGCCTCTTGAGGGCCTCTTGGGGACCTCTTGGGGCCTTTGGGGGCGTCTTGGGGCCTCCTGGGGGCCTCTAAGGGCCGAGAGCTCGAAATTCTGTTTCGTGAACCCCCTCTTGGGGCGCTCTTGAAGCATTCTTGGGGCCCTCTTGGGCCGTCTTGGAGGCCTCTTGGGCCGTCTTGGAGCCGTCTTGGGCCGTCTTGGAGCCCTCTTGGGGGCCTCTTGCGCCCTCTTGGGGCGATCTTTGAGGCCTCTTGAGCCGTTTAAGGGCGTCGGGGAACCGAAAAGGTTGAAACGCCCAAATCTGTCCAAAACCTATGGAAAAAACATTGTTTGTTTGCCTCTTGGGGCCCTCTTGGGGATGCACTTGGAGACCTCCTGGGGGTCTTGGAGGCTTCTTGGGTCATCTTGGAGACGTCTTGGGCCGTCTGGAGGCCATCTTGGGCGTCGTGGAGCGATCTTCGGGCGTCTCGGACCTCTCTTGGACCGTGCTGGGGGCGTTCTTGGGGCCCTCTTGGGCCGTCCTGGAGGCCTCTGGGGCCGTCTTGGAGCCGTCTTGAGCCGTCTTGGGGCCCTCTTGGGGGCCTCTTGCGCCCTCTTGGGGCGATCTTGGATGCCTCTTGAGCCGTTTAGGGGCGTCGGGGAACCGAAAAGGTTGAAACGCCCAAATCTGTCCAAAACCTATGGGAAAAACATTGTTTGTTTGCCTCTTGGGGCCCTCTTGGGAGTTCTCTTGGAGGCCTCTTGGGGCATCTTGGAGGCTTCTTGGGCCATCTTGGAGACGTCTTGGGCCGTCTGGAGGCCATCTTGGGCGTCGTGGAGCGATCTTCGGGCGTCTCGGACCTCTCTTGGACCGTGTTGGGGGCGTTCTTGGGGCCCTCTTGGGCCGTCTTGGAGGCCTCTGGGGCCGTCTTGGAGCCGTCTTGGGCCGTCTTGGGGCCCTTTTGAGGGCCTCTTGGGCCCTCTTGGGGCGATCTTGGAGGCCTCTTGAGCCGTTTAGGGGCGTCGGGGAACCGAAAAGGTTGAAACGCCCAAATCTGTCCAAAACCTAAGAAAAAGCATTGATTTTTGCCTCTTGGGGCCCTCTTGGGAGTGCTCCTGGAGGCCTCTTGGGGCATCTTGGAGGCTTGTTGGGTCATCTTGGAGACCTCTTGGGCCGTCTGGAGGCCATCTTGGGCGCCGTGGAGCGATCTTCGGGCGTCTCGGACCTCTCTTGGATTGTGTTGGGGGCCTCTTGGGGCCCTCTTGGGGCGATCCTGGAGGATCTGGGGGTGTGTCCGGGGCGTGTCTCGGCCGTGTCCCGGGCTCCTCTCGGGGTACGTTTGATCCAGGGACCCCCAGGGGCCGCCCCGCGCGCGCGAACCAGAAATGCTGTTTACCAGTTACCGGAGATCTTAGCACGCCTCTGGCCCGTTGGGCCGGCGAATTCCATTACGTCCCTGGCCCCCCCGCTGGGCCGCGCACACCCCGCCGGTCATGATTTGCACCCCCCCTCCCTCTTGGACACCCCCCTCTTGGCCGCTCTCGAAACTCCAGCGGGTGCGAGGTTGGCTAATTACCCGCCGAAGCAGCGCCGTGCACTGCACCGAAGGAGGACACCTCGGGCGAGCTGGAAGCACTCCTCGAGGCCATCCTCTCAGGTGCGTCTTTCGACACTGAGCACATTCAACAAGCTGCCAGACAGCAGCGGACGGGGCACGGACAAAAGTCGTGGCAAGAAGCCGTGCTACCAGAGAGAGAGAGAGTCAAGCCCATCTGCCCCGAGCCACTGAGGGGGCCCACGCGGCGGGGCAACCTGCCGTCGACACGGCCAGATTCCGAATCGAGTCTGGAGAAAGGAGGTGGAGGAGGAGGAGGAGGAGGAGGAGGAGGAGGAGGAGGAGGAGGAGGAGGAGGGGGAGGGGGAGGGGGAGGAGGGGGAGGAGGAGGAGGAGGAGGAGGAGGAGGAGGAGAAGGAGGAGGAGGAGGAGGAGGTTTCACCCTCATCCCGTTGACCAAAGGGTCTGGATGGAAGCCCCACCAACCACAGCGCGTGAGCCACAGCCCCCCAATCCTTCCGATCGGGCGCGACAGGTCCCACCTCGCGCCGGAGACCAAGGGCTGCTGCGCCCTCCGGCAGCCCCGCCGCAGGGGTCAAAGGCTGCGGCCGTCGAAATCCAGCAACATAGATTTGTGACAATCGCCGAGATGCCCCAGGCACTGAGTGAGCAGATCGCCGTCTCACAACAGCAGGCGCTGCAGGAGCCGGGCAGGATGCTCGAACAACAACAACGACGACGACAACAACGACAACAACGACAGCAACAACAACAACGACGACGACGACAACGACAACGACAACAACGACAACGACAACGACAACGACAACAACGACAACGACAACGACAACGACAACAACGACAACGACAACAACAGCAACAATAACAACAAGACAACACGAGGCGAACCTGAACAGGATCCGTTCTCCTTTTGCGGAGTGCGCACGCGCCTCGCCAGCGCAAGCAGCCCAGAGCGTTGATCCGCAGGCTCGCGCTGTCGTCGGTGCCCTCGTGGCGGCAAGCGCATAGGGCCAGTGAATCTGGCCAGTGAACGATGTACCAAGGGCAAGCATTTTCCGGATTCCATAGCAAAATGGGGGGGGGGTCACATTTGGGGGGAGGTCTAATTTGAGCTGTCTTGGAGGGTTCGGGGTGGGTCTGGGCAAAGGGCCGCCCTTTCATGGATAGTCTAGGGGGTCTAAAACTTCTCGTCTGGGAGGGATGTGACCCCCTCCCTTTTATTACGAAATCTGGAGTACTTGGTAGAGCGCACTAGCGCAGTTGAGATCCTGCTTCAATGCCGAAGATTGCGGGCCTTAACCGAGATAGACGGCGCGCGGCAGCTATTCGGAACAGCCGAGAAGATTGCTTCACATGTAAGAGAAGCGGACGACTACGTTCGAGCAGCATCATAGGACGTTAACTCAACAGGTGGGTTTTGCTGCGACGATCTGGGGGCAGACCAAGCGCGAGACCTTTGAAAGAGTGCCCAAGCTGTTTCAAACGCTGTCAGCATTCGCCTACCAGGAGAGACTGGGTAGCACCGATGGATAATGTTCGGTGAACGGCGAGGCCATTGGCACGCCAATAACCATGCTGCATGATGCTGTCCGACACGCTGGGCAATATAGAAGCGCCCCACGACAAGGCGCAAGGGTACAAGGTGACTGGCGCGATCAAGCGTCATGTATAGGAAATGTGGGCAGGATCTGCAACGAAACCGCAGCTACTCGGGGCCGAATCAGTTTGAGGCCGGACACTTGGCCGCGTGTTGTTGGTAATCATCACCACGAGGCCGCAATCCAAACGGCCGTTGTGGTTGGGGAGTTTCACCAGTAACTAGACATGTGAGCCCGTTCGGGCGGACAGCTGTGGATATAAACCTTCCCGCCGCGAGGGAGTCGGCGGATTGGAGGGTCGCCAGCGACACCCATCCCCCAACAATTGGAGCCATTCGGGCAGTTGGTGAGTCTGGTCTGGTGGAGCCGAAGCTCTGCCACCCGCGGCGGGGCAGCGTGCCGCTGTGAAATAGTGGCAAGGTCTCAGGTTCTTGCGCTGGCGGCTGTGCCACCGCCGCTGCCGCATCCTGAGCGGAGGCCGAGCCTCCAACGGCGCGGCGCGCCAGCAACGCTGAACCACCCAGTGCGGGATGGGCTCACCTCCTCCTCCTCCTCCTCCTCCTCCTCCTCCTCCTCCTCCTCCTCCTCCTCCTCCTCCTCCTCGTGCCTAGGAGCCTCGCGGAATTTGCCAGGTGGACCACCACCTCCCAACATCGATCGGCCAGGGACAGGTGGAGATCCGCCCTGCGACCGCCAGTCTGCAGCTAAAGGGGTCGCGAAGCTTCTGACTCGAAGTCACTCGGGTCTGGCACGGGGTGTCGAAGGGGCCTCGTGGAGGCCTCGGGGGAGGCTTTGCGGAGGTTTTTGACGGACCTTTTGGGCCTCTTGAGGCCTTCCGGGGGCTTCGCGGAGACCTCTTGGGTGCGAGCGGGGGGCAGTGGGGCAATGTGGGCCAGGACCTCTTCGTGTGTGTTCCCCTCTTCTGCTTCTCCAGAGGCTCCCGTGGGAATCTCCAGGCTCGTCTTGGGGGGCCCTTTGGGCCGTCTTGGGGCCCGTCTCGGCGGTGCACAGGCTCTCTTAGGGGGCCTCGCGGGCCGTCTCGCGTCTCTGGGCAGTGAAGCGCCAGGGGGTGCGACGATGCGCAAAACAACATCCAGTTACCAAAGGGAAACCAACGTGTTGTGCCTCTCGAGGCCTTCTTTGGGAGTCCTCTTGAGGCCCTCTGGGGGCGTCTTGGCAGCCTTGTGGACCGTCTGGTAATATTATTCTTCTTGCGAGGATCGAGGTTGACGATGCGCGAGGTGGTGGTCAACAACGCATCGCGCGCGCCCGCGCGCGCGTTTTCTTGTTCTTCTTCTTCTTCTTATTATTATTATTCTTATTATTCCTCTTCTTCTTATTATTATTCTTTGTCGTGTCGCAAATGCTCCAGCTATATGAATACAGCTATCAGTAACTCTAAAGAGCTCTGCCGCCTTGACAGGCCAGCCGACGCCATGGCTACAGAGGATTCGAGTTTGGCCCGAAAGCCCTTGTTACAACCGGACCGAGGGAGGTATAATATCGAGGTCGATTCGGGATTCGGGGAGGGTACCTTAATGTTCTTCGTGTTTGCGGAATGTTATGGCGCATCTTGGTGGGGTTTCTTTCGATGTTCTGTTTATTTTTGTTGACTGAGGGTCTCATGATCTTGAGGGATGCTCTTCTTGCCCAGGTCCGACTGCACCCTCAACTTCGGGGGAACAGGAGGCGGGAGGGAGAGGAGGGGGAAGCGGAGGTGGAGGCGGCGGAGGATGAGGGGTGAGAGTGACGAAGCAATATGGTTGCGTGCTCTCTTCCGGCGCGGGCGGAGGTTCCGGCACGCGCACCGGGCGGGTGCGACGTGTTCGACGGGTGGCGTAAGAGCTACGCCAGCGGCGAGGGCGTGTCCCTCGACTTGGATGGCAGAGTTTACGGAGCGAGGGAGGCGAACTCTTCATATGCGCGTTCGAATTATAAATTGTAAGTCTTATATTCACCTACATATATATATATATAAACATATACAGGGTGCACGCTCCCACGAAGCGATCTTAGGCGTCCGGGGCCTCTCGTGGGCCTCTTGGAGCCATATTGCGCCGTTTTGATACCCATCTGGGACGTGCTCCGGTGGGTGGACAAAAAGTGCCCACACCCATCGCGCCATTCTGATACGACATCGAACTGCGTCGAACAAATATCCATAGCCCCCGCCCCCCCAAACCCAAAGTTGACGGGGCCTGGTGCGAGGCAACAAGCAGGGGGACAAAATGTGGGCATTTCAATTTTGGGTTTTGGGGTGAGGGGGGCGAGCCACATGTGCATTGCAGTTGTCGTTGCCATCATGCCCGATTATCCTCGCGCCGCCGGCGTGGACACTCTTTGTCCGGGCACCGTCAGTCTCGGGCCCAGCCATCACGAAGCCATTTCCGGCTTCCTCGATCCATAGTAGGCCGTTTTGATCCAAGTTCAGGTTTGCCTCGGGTCCAGGTTTGTCTTGGAGGCGTGATGCGCCACCCGAGGGCGCAAGCCTGCGCTCCGGCACGCACGCACAAGCTCTTCCCGGTTTTTGTTTTGCTTTCGTCTGCGTCTTCCCGTCGCTTCTTCGCGCCTCGAATCGCTGCGGATGCGCGCCGCCGTCGCTCGACCTCGTCTCGGACCCACGCCGCCGCTGCCAGTGTTGTTTTCTCCACCGTCCGACCTTCCTCGTGCGTCACGTCGTTATGGAAGGAAACCCTTGCCCCGAAGAAGCATCGCATTGGTCGTCCATGGTGGTTCATTCGTGGTCGCTTCTGGTGGATTTGGGGGTGGGTAGAAGTGGATCCGGACAGATCGGCCCTAGTGGGTGATCTTAGATTTCAAGATTCTGGCAGAAATCGGAATCCGAGGTGTTGTACTTGTCATCACGCACCCCTCCCTTATATAGTCGTCCTTGTCGTCGCCAGTGGTCGTCGTCGTCGTCAGCATTTTTTCGTCGTCGGTCCCTCGGACGCTCGGTCGGTTGGTCGGCTGGTCCGTCGGTTTGTCGGACGGTCGTCGTCGCCGTTGTCGTCGTTCGTCGTCGCCGCCGACGGTCGTCGTCGACGTCGTCGTCTTCGTATTCGTCGACGTTCGTCGTCGTCGTTGTCGTCGTCGGTCGCTCGGTCGGTCGGGCAGTCCGTTGGTCGTTCGTCGTTGGCCGTCGTCGTGCATCGTCGTCGTCGGTCGCTCGGTCGGTCGATCGGTCGACCGGCTAGTCTCTCGGTCGTCGTATCGTCGCCAATCTGTCGGGTTGTCGTCGTCGTCTCCGTCACTGTCGCTCGTGAATCGTCGCCGTCGGTCGTCGTTGTTTGTCGTCGTCATGTTCGTCCTTGGGTGTCGCCGATTGTCGTCCTCGCCGTCGTCGTCATCGGTCGCTCTCGCTTGGTCGCCTGGTTGTTTCGGTCGAGCTTCCAGTCGGCCACTAGGTCGGTCGGTCGTTCGTTGTCGTTCATCGTCGTCGGGCGGACGGTCGTCGTCGTCAGTCGTTCGGTCGCTTTTTTCGGTCGGTCGGCTGGTCGGTATGTCGGTCGTTCGTCGTCGTGCGTCGTCGGTCGGTAGGTCGTCGTCGTTCGTGGTCGTCGGTCCGCCAATCGGCACCCAAAAATCAAATTCAGCAAACTTGTCGGAAAGGGAACCCCACCGAAGGCACGAGTGGCTGCGTGCCCGTGCCACCATCGCACCCAGTTCGGTACCCCCTACACACGATTCGTGTTTATCGCGAGCTCCGCCGAATACGATATCCACCATTGCGTCATTCACAACTGCATATTGGTGGGTCCTTCGCCCGGATATTTCTTCATGCAAGGGGACACAACCATAGGCCTTGGGGAGGGGGTCGTGATCGGAGGGGGACAGGATGGGACCAGGGAAGCGGCCAAGGCTGCACCGCGCTGGAAAGGATCTCCTGTCCTACACCCCACTCGTACATATTAGATTGAGCTCATGTGCTATGTTGGGTTCACATGGACGCATGCTTGTTTCCGCGCGGGCACCCTATTTGGACCAGGTTGTGCTTGCGAACGAACACATTATCACATCTCGCGTGCCGTTCGGTCATCATCTGACACGCTCCCTTCGCCCGCGGATCGTGAACGTTTTCAGCAAACGCGTTTCAGCAAGCACGGCCATCTTACCGTCATGTGGACTGGACGCGGCCAAAAAATGGGAACGACATTGAACAGCATAACCACAGTTAGCAGGGGGGCGAGGGTGCAGAAGGCGAAAAAGGGGCACAGGGCTCTACGCAGCTTTCCCCACAGAGCAGAAGCAGGATCTAGACAATGTGTTTCAACGGCACAGGGAGGACATTCAGCACATCCTGTCCGTCAGGACGACGAGCAGCGGAGAAGCAGTTGTTGATCGGAATGCTCGCGACGGCTTCGCGGGTAACGAATGGCACGACAACGAGGACGCCGAGCCCTGGGGTCACCGATCAAGAGGGTCAGCGGAAGACCGCTGGCAGAGTCACAGCCGCGACGGCAAGGACTACAAGGACTGACAGTATTGGGAGTGCTCTACCTGGTCTAGGCAGGACGGCGAGAACGGCTAGAGCTCGTCCGAGAGGCACGGCATCGAGTTGTAGTCAACGTAGCAGACATGAAACAAACCGGACATGACAGGTACCACGCGATGGTTGCAGCAAGTTGTCGTGCCCCTGCGCAAGCAAGCAGGCTGACATCTGGAAGTATTGGAGACAAGTGTGCAGCGGTAGTCTAACTATATCACAGATGAAGTGTTGACCTTCACCCGAAGGGGGCCATGGCTATTGTCAAGCGTTTGAACGTCTTGAGCGAAGTGCGGGCCGATTGCGACAAGCACCTGGCCGTTCGGTCATGTCTACATGGGCGTCGCAGGAAGCATTGCGAAACTCTCTCAGTATGCGCGTCGCGGGTGGACCATAATCTCGGCCATTTCAAGACACGCGGTCTTCTCGTGGACGCACATTGGAAGAAGTTGTTCGTAGAGGAAGGGCGATCTCGAACAGGCCAGAACGCAGGCGCTAAAGGGATGTCAGAGAGGCCCTAATTGGGGCCGGGCTTCACAGCGTTTCTGGGGCGAACAAGTCCGCCAGAACCAGCGGCGACTTGAGAACGCCCCCGCCCCAGTAGAGAGAGGGTCAGGGCCTCCCGAAGGCAGTGCCCGTCGCGAGGCGGCCGATTGGAGGCGCATCGTCGGAGCGACCCAGGGCGATGTCTTCGTAGCCCAGGGCCAGGCCTTGGAGCCCAGACAGGGGCCAGATGTCCGGCGAAAGGGGGGGCGACATGAGCCCCCCCACCATGCCCAAGGATCAGGTCGAACATATTTCGAGAGCGTCGAAGCAGGCGCGCAGGAAAGATAATCGAGCGGCACGCGGCTCGAGCGCGGCAACGGGAATGCCGGCGTCGAGCTACATCAAGGCTAGGGAGACAATTTTGGGCGTCTGTTTCTGGCCACTTCCCGGCGCGGGGCGGCCTTCAAGCGAAAGTTGGACCCCCGGGAGGCGAGAGTGTTCGACCTCGCGGACGCTGCCAAGTGGGCGAGCGTTTCGGGCCCGCGCGCTGTCCACGGGCGGTTAGTTGAGGAGCGCCGCGAGTTCCGAAGGTGGTTCCTCGGTCGAGTTGCGCCCAGCCGCAAGGCGGAGCGCTGGAGGCCCCAAAAAGGCACACTCAGCCTCTCGATGGCGAAGAGTCGCTGGCGCGCGAGGGGGCGCGAGAAAGAGGGCCTGGGAGAGTCACGCGCGCGCCAAGTACACAGATAGAGCCCTTGGTGCTCTTTCTCACCGTGGCCTTCGCCCATGATCTGGACGTTCAGATAGGAGGCTTGAGAAACGCGTCTTGCCCGCCGGACCTCCTGCACCGACGTCGGTCGCGTCGTCGCGGAGCCCAGCGCGGGGCTCAGTCTGGCCCCAGGATCGCCGATCGAGCTCATTGTCTCAGTCTACGGCTTAGACGACGCTACTCCCGCCTGTCGCCACGTTGCCGCGTTTTCCTTCGAGGCCATCGGACACGCGAAGTCCAAGCTCGAGCCGCGCTGGATAACTCGTCGAGGCCCGCGCGGGCCGGGAGCGATGGTCTTGATCGTGGTTGACGATTGGCGTGCGCTTCCTGCGGAAGTCCATTTGCGTCTCGGAGATGAACAAGCACCATTCCGGTTCATCGCGCGGCAAGCGGTCGATTCGCCCAGGTTTGACTACTTCGGTCGTCGCCTGCGGAAGTTGCCAGGCAGAATGTTCGTGGACCAGGAGAAGCACATCTTGGCAAAGCTCCATCGCCCCCCCCCCCCCCCGTAGTTGGAGATCAGCTCGTGATAGCCCCCTGGTCGGAACGGAGGCCGCGGACTTTAGGTCCACGGTCTATCGTCTTTGATGGGTGGGTCAAGAGCTGCGCCGACGCGACAGGGGTCGCTTCGGTCTTCTCGAGCAAGGCAAATCAGGCCACCGCGGGGCATGTTGCAATCTTGCGAACAATTGATAGATCACGCCCGGCAGCGAGTTTGCCAATCATTGATCGGGAGTTCGAGCTCGATAGTTCCATCTTCGCCACCGCGTCGTATTGCGGGGGGGGGGGGGGGGGGGGGGGCGCTTCCAAGAGCGTCAAGTTTCCGCGGCGGGCGACGCTCTTGCGTCGGGGCCTTGGGCCCGCGCGACGCCCCCTGGCCTGGAGGTCGCGCGACATGGAGCGCCGGGCTCCGTCTACCCTAACTGGCGAGGCGCGGTCTCTCAGCGTTGCCCCGGCTGGGGCCGAGTGGATACAATTGGTGTTTTATGCCGTTTTGAAAAGGCATCGTTTTGGACGAACACTTAGGGGCCCAGATCGGACCGTTCGCTTCAGTTTTCCTGCGAAAGTGCGCCCTTGACGCGACCTTCACGGGCAACGCAATCATCGCGGATGCCGAGGGCATCTTCGAGACGTTTGATAAGGGTGCGTCCGGAAGTAAGAACAAAAGTAGAATTGCGATAGATTACGCGGCATGCCGCGACTCTCGTGGCCGTGTAGGTGGAGTGGTTCCTTGGGCCCTCCGCCCTCTCATGCTCGTAGACGCGATGCCAAAGGAGGATTGAACAAAGGCAAATGCAGCCCAGTTCCAGTTTCTTCGATCAGGTCCGCTCAAGATTGCCTCGGAGGCGACTCCCCTGGATACCAGGAAGCAGCACCCGCTTTCGAAAGGCCGTTCTCGTGCGGCCTCAGACTGTCGCCTGGTCGAGTCGTCGGACTCCCTCCTTCTCTTGTCCAGTCTTGAACTCGAGCTCGTCGACCAAGTTGGCCAGGGTTAGAAGCAGGCTATGTTAGCTTGATTACGCGGTCTTACAATAGGCCTACTTAGCTGAGTCAAGAACTGCTTCCTCTCAGTACGGGGTGTCCCGCATAGTTTTTTTGCCCAGTGGCGAGTGTCGAGCTTACTAGGATGGGGCGGGATCAAGAGTTCCTGTCCTATACCCCCTCGAACTCGATGTATTGTGTTGGGATTCGCGTGTACGCGTGGTCGTTTTCGTATAGGGACCTTCTTTGGCTCTGGTATTATTGGGGAGTGAAAGGGCTGTCACTGTTTAGCGACCGTTCGACAATCACCTGACATGCTTCACCCGTCACAAGCTGCCAGCCAGCCGTTGACAATCACCTGACAAAGCGCCAGCCGGCCCGTCCCTTCCCCTGGGACGCCTGGCGTGATCGTCCGTTGGGCCGGCGGCGACGGAGACAGCCACGGTGAGCCACCGCAGTGACCTTGGCGGGGCTAGGACAGAGCGAGATCATTCCGGAACGTTCTCAGAGCTTTCAAGAGCCTCCAAGATATTCCGATTTGTCCCAGCCCGATGTTGTCCTCTGTCTGGCCTCGTCGTAGTTCGGCGACAACGTTCAGTATCGTTCGTCCGATTCCCATCCCCGTCCCCATGCAGAACCCCACCACCCCACCACCCCCGTTGGGGATATGCCCATCGAAACCCGAGGGGGGAAACACATATCCCCATATAGGGGGGGGCGAGTGGGCCAGCGGGACCCAGGCCACACCCGCAGGCACGGTGATCGGTTGGGCGATGTTCACACGGGGGCAGCCACGTCAGAGAGGGTCGGCGACGGCGCGGCGCTTCCTCCTTTCAGGAGAGCCCGCGGGCAGTTGGGGGAGCTGCCTCGAGCTGTGCGGCCGCAGCCCCGAGTGCCAGCAGGCGGGGCGCCCCTCCGCCCATCGGCGGTCGTCGCCCTCGGCGGTCGTGTCCGTTGAAGGAGGGGGCGGCGGAGGCGCGTCGGCATGGGGGGCCAGAAGAGGCCCCGGTGCAACCGAGCAGGGGGGAGGGTCCAAGGCAGTGAAACAACATATCATTGAGCGGTGCCGCAGCCTCCACTGAGCACAGCCCCCCCAGAGCATCAGCCAGACATGTCGGGCCGAGGAGGAGGAGGAGGAGGAGGAGGAGGAGGAGGAAAAGCAGGAGAAGCAGGAAAAGCAGGAGAAGCAGGAGGAGGAGGAGGAAATGGAGGAGGAGGAGGTGGGAGGAGGAGGAGGAGGAGAGGAGGAGGAGGAGGAGGAGGAGGAGGAGGAGGAGGAGGAGGAGGAGGAGGAGGAAGGGGAGAAGGAGGAGGAGGAGGAGGACAACAAAGACCAGGGCCACGACGATCATATCAGCAGATATCTGGGTGTCCCTGGCTCAGGGAGAACTGAGCTCCGCGCGCCGTTAAGGAGCCCGTGGGGGCCTCTGGGAGTCGTAAGGGGGGTCCTCCTTGGAGATCATGGAGACCCAGGGCCAAGGGAACATCTGGCAAACACCCGGCACAGGGTCGAGGCCCTTTCATTCAAGCAGCCAGTCGATATGGTCGAGATAGATTCCGCGAGCGATGCAAGCGATTTGCGATGAAGAGCAGCCGGATGACGAGCACGGCCCAGGGTGGGGCTGTTGCAGCTTCTTTGAAGGCCAGGGACCAGCCAGAAGCGCCTGAATGGTTCGAACAATGGTTCTTGGAAGTTGGGAATGACGTTGATGATGATGACGAAGAAGGTGGTGATGAGGGGGAGGGTGAGGATGAGGTTACAGATAAGGATGATGACGATTCTGATGATACTGGTGATGATGGTGATACTGATGGTGATGCTGATGGTGATGATGGTGATGGTGATGGTGGTGATGATAGCGATTGTCATGGTGGTGGTTATCATACTGATGATGATGCTGATGATGATGACGATGGTGGTGGTGATGATGATGACGATGGTGGTGGTGGTGGTTGTGATGATGGTGATGATGATGATCATCATCATCAGCAGCAACCTCATCATCATCCTCAGCATCATCATCAGCATCATCATCGCCATCGCCATCATCAACAGAGTCGTCAAGTTTCTAAGAAGCCACCTGGCTCCCCTGACCCCCAGCCCTCTATACCCACCCGCCTTATTTGAGGGCCACCCCCCTCGCGCCATTCCCTTGTGCCCGCCGCCAGGCTCATCTGGGAGTTTAGACGGCAGCCTTGCCGCATGGTTCGGCCACGCGCAGAAGGGGGAGCAGAGGTGTTGCGCGTGGCGACGGTGGCAGCGAACGGCACGGCACGTGCAATCTCACTTCTGACGAAGGAGGCCTCTTGGCGGCATCCTGTGCGCACGGCAAAATTGCAGCTGTAGCGCAGAATGATAGACACGAACGGAATTGGTATGGAAAGAATGGGTACGATGCCCAACAGCAGTTCCTGTTCATTCTGAGCAGGGCTCGCTGTCCGCGCCGCCGCGGCCTGTGTCCATTTGAGGCAGAAGGCCGCCTGCCCAACAGCGGCCGCTGTTGGTTTGGGACAACATTTGTTGTTGGGCATTGTACCCATTCTTTCCGTGCCCATTTCGGGCGTCCAAAAATGAGTTGTATATTGTTGATGTTCATTTCCAACATGTTTCCACATTCGTGCCCTACGCACCTCCATTTGTATGACTGCTTGCTGCTGCAGAAGGGGAGCAGAGGGGAGGGGGAAGGCTTCTCAAAAGCAGCCTCCTTCTGAGAAGCCTTCCCCCCTACCCCATACCCCGCTTGTGCGCGCCGCCGAAAGGTCGTCTTCCACAAGGAGACCAAGGCCTGCTTCCCAACCAGCTCAGCCGGGGATGAAGACATCCAGCTGCCTGCGGCACGTCCCGCCACCGTGCCCTGGTTGTGGGTGCGAAGCCTACTTTGGAGAGCCCCGAGGGGGCGCCATGGCCGCCCCAGGGACCTGCGGGAGTGAGAGGGAGGGGGTGCTCCCGCGGGGGGGGGAGGCCCTTTTTTGAAGGCTACAGAAGCCCTGCCAGGCAGCACTGGGCGTTCCTCCACGCCTCCGCGCGCGGCAGGCACGGTGGCGGCTAGACGGCAGGGGCGGAGACAACGAGCTCTACATCTCTGCACACTGTAACGGCGCCCAGGCGATGGCGGGCGCAGGGGGCGAGGAGGAGAGGCAGAAAAAGGCGGCGTAAGGCGAGCAGTGGCGAATGCGTCCTGCCTTTGGCCTGCCAGAGAAGGTTCTAGTCACCTTTTGTGGCGTGCACGAAAAGGTTCTTTTTGCATGCCTGATGGAGACTGTTCTGTTTTACCACGTCGGGTTTCTGTTCTAAGGACACTGCTTTGGGTCTTAGAACTGTTTCGAATTCTAAGAACATGTCGCGGTAGGGCTATAGGGATGCTGGGACGGCCGGCCCCTGCTCAAGCAAAGAACGCGTGCGGGCGGTGAGGACGAAAGGGGGGGGATTGGGAAACGGGGGTGGTTACGAAATCTGCTGCACGCAGCTGGTTTCGGCCTCACCGAGGGGCCCAGTCCTCGATGCATTAGCCGCCTCCGGCGCCGAGAGGCGCCGGGAAAATCAGCTACGTGAGCTGATTCAGGAGGAGGAGGAGGAGGAGGAGGAGGAGGAGGAGGAGGGAGGAGGAGGAGAGAAGAGGAGGAGAGGAGGAGGAGGAGGAGGGGGGAGGAGGAGGAGAAGGAGGAGGGAGGAGAGGAGAGGAGGAGAGGAGGGAGGAGGAGGGAGGGAGGAGGAGGAGGAGGAGGAGGAGGAGGAGGCGCCGGGAAAATCAGCTGCGTGAGCTGGTTCTCAAACCCCCCCGTTTGCTATCCCCCCGTCTTTCGCCCGACCCGAGAGCGGTGTCGCCGACCCCCCCGCGGAGGCTGCGCTCTGGCGCAAGTGGTCACCAGGCTCTTGGCATCGCTCGGACGTGGGCATTTTTTTCCTTCGGCGAGGACCATCGAGGAGAACCCTCGATCATTTGGCACAACAAATATCTTGGCGAAGGACCCAACCATAAGCAATTGTTCGTAACGCGTTGTGGGTGCCGCTTTCGGTGGGGCTCCCTATGGGGCCACGAAACGCTGTCCTGGGTGGGGGAACCGCATGCGAGAGCAGCCACTGGGGCCTTCGGTGGAGCTCCCTATGGGGCCACGAAACGCTGCCCTGGGTGGGGGAACCGCATGCGAGAGCAGCCACTGGGGCCTTCGGTGGAGCTCCCTATGGGGCCACGAAGCGCTGCCCTGGGTGGAGGAACCGCATGCGAGAGCAGCCACTGGGGCCTTCGGTGGAGGTGTCGTGTGGCCAAACGATGGCCAATCAACCTTTACTTCGCTAGCGGCCTTTCCACATGGATGGAAAGCGGCGCGTGCGCGTGGCAAGGCGACATGAGACGAGGCCAGGGAACGATTGGGTACAGTGCGCGGCTTGAATAAGGAACACTTACTTTTCAAAAGGGGCTCTGTCGTTCCTTAGGTTTGCATGCGTTATTTCCAGTTCCTTATGCGTTTATGTATTGTTTATCGTTCCTTATGCGTTATTCCTTGGGATAAAAAAGGGGCTTCGTTCCTGATGTATCGTTCCTTAGGTCAGGCCGATGACTGTAAGAACTTCTGAAACTAGAGCGACAACTCGCCCACCTTGCTCTCCCTGGCCCTTGCCGCTGGCAAGAGCAAGGGAGAGCAAGATGACATACCGAGAACACCTCCTCCTCCTCCTCCTCCTCCTCCTCCTCCTCCTCCTCCTCCTCCTCCTCCTCCTCCTCCTCCTCCTGGTCATCGCCAAGCCTGCCCAGCTCCGATGGCGCAGCCCGACGAAAGGGAATACGGCCATCAGCACCGCCCTTCTCAAGTTGCTGTCAAGGTCCGCCTTCTTGGAGAGGCTCTCGCTTGGCCCTCCCCGCGACCACGAAGACTTCGACACAGCAAAAGTAAAGGGCAGAGACGATGTCGACATTGTTCCAATAATTACGTCGTGCGTGGACCTGGGGCATCCTGACCCACTTCTGGGGTTAGGTTTTCGTCCTGGATCGCTTTCCGTTTCTCTCGGGGCCCGAGACGGGCCACTAGATTTTCCAATATGAGGAAAAGTTGGCCCCACAGAGAGTTGTTTGCGATAGACAATGACGTAGATCTTCTGTCCATGCCCAGGGGACATTTGGGGTCGTTCAGGCTTGGAACGCCGAACCCAACTGTTGCGACGAGGGATCCCCCGGCGGCCCTGAAAAGGCAAACACGCAGAACGCTCCGAAACGTTGCCGTGACTCGATGAAGAAGCAACTGCGTAACCATGAGCTTCTCGAGCTCCGCGTGGAATTCTTGGATCGGCGCTGGATCCCTCTCCCTGGCGCGCGGCGCCCGCTAAGGGCGGCGCCGGAGGCGTCGTCAGGGGGCCCCAGCGCCGATTCCAGAGATCCGCGCGGAGCTCCAGCGCAGTTCATTGTTCCCCCAGTGACGAAGGATCTTGTCCGTGGGCAAGGGATGTCTGCGCGCACCTGACTCGCACGACGCTCTCAAGCCCGTGCATTTGTCAGTGCGCGCGTCAGCGTTTCGCGCCCCACCGGGGCTCGTGAGGACTCGAGTGGAAATGGCAGCGGCACGCGCATGCCATGGCAAGCGGCACGCATTCTAGCGGCGACACCCCGCCGCAAAAACTTGTTTGGAATGGCGGAGGGATGAGGAGAAGAAACGGAGGAGGAGGACGAGGAGGAACAGGAGGAGGAGGAGGAGGAAAGGGAGCAGGAGGCGGAGGAGGAGGAGGAGGAGGAGGAGGAGGAGGAGGAGGAGAAGGAGGAAAGGGAGGAGGAGGAGGAGGAGGAGGAGGGAGGAGGAGGAGCAGGACGACCATCACCCCCCAAGGCGACGCGGCCAGACCCCGCGGACCCCGCGGCTCCAGGCGGCGCCCCAGAGCCCCCGCCGGCGCCCCCCGACCCGCCGCCGCCGCCGCGGGAGCCTGCCGACGCCCCCGCGGAGCCGCCCACCTCACTGCGCCGCGCTCGGCGGCGGCGACGACCACGACGGCAACGACGACCACGACGACCACGACTTAAAGAAGAGCCAGGACACTGAGACGGCGGCCATGAGCACGGCGGCGACGATGACGTCGGCGAGCGACGACCACGACGGCGACCATGGGCCATGACCACGACCACGGGGGCGGGGGGGGGGGATCCCGAGCCATGCCTCGTCCGCCCCCCGTCGCTGGAGGGAGAACAAGCGGCACAAGCAAGAACTTCTGGAGCTCCGCGCGGATGTCCGTGCGGAGATCTGGAAGTGTATGATCGCGGGCTCCGGGCCCACGCCCCCCCCCCCCCCAAGATGGGATGGGTCCCAGGGTCCTCGGCCCCCCCCCCAGATGGGATGGGGGGAGGAGGAGGAGGAGGAGGAGGAGGAGGAGGAGGAGGAGGAGGAGGAGGAGGAGGAGATCCGGGAGTGTATGCTCACGCAGTTGCTTCTTCCAGCAGCGACGGCGGCGCCCGCGGCGGCGGCGGCGGCGGCCGCAGCAGCACCGTGGCGATGACGACCGGAGCTCCAGGCCCCGCGTTTCCGCGGCGCTTCTCCAGCCGGATCGACGCGGGAAGGCCCGGGGCCCCGAAGAGTCGGGGGCGGACAGAACCCCCAACAGTGACACGTCGATTAGTGAATTGTCCGTTTTCGGTTCTCGAGAGGGCGCCGCGGCTGCTATTTTCCAGGCTTGCGCCCGCCAGGTTTGGGCCGCAGGTCGTCTTCACTAAACCACGTTTTACTAAAGGGAGGTCTGTCCATCTCCGAGAAGAGTCGGGCGGAAGCGCTGGGTATACGACGACGTGTGGCGCCCGGATCGTCGGGGGTCTGCCTCCAGTTGCCAGTTGCCAGCAGTTGAAGGATTCTAGGCCTCCCAGATGGGATTCTAGGCCTCCCAGATGGGGTCGGAGTAGATGGGGTCGAAGGATCGCGCCGCAGCGCCGATGCATCGCCGATGCATCGACGATGCGGCTCGATGTGGCGCCCGAATTTCCCACGCCGACGTCGCCGATGCATCGCCGGCGTCGCTGATGCATCGGCGATGCATCGCCGATACATCGGCGATGCATTGGCGATGCGGTGCGACCTTTCGACCCTATCTACTCGGACCCCATCTAGGAGGCCTCTAAGGATGGTCCCTGCGCGCCAGGGTCCTGCGCAAAAGGCCGCCAATCCTCTGATGCGATCAGGCGGCAGGCCGGAGCGGGCGGCAATCTGCTCGCGCGAAAGGTCGCATTGCCTTTCTGGAAGAGAGTCTTTCTCCTCCTCCTCCTCCTCCTCCTGCTCCTCCTCCTCCTCCTCCTCCTCCTCCTTGGCGCGGCGCAGCGCGGCTTCATCGCTGGCCGCCAGTTCGCATCCATCCTCGAGCTCGACGTTATGGCAAGAGTGGTTTTCATGGCACCACAGGCTGAGACCAAGTGTCCAGTATTCGTTGCGCTGGACTTTGGTCGGGCACTCCCCAGCCTCAGTCGGGAGTACCTTTTCGCGATCCTGGAACAGCCGCGCCTACCTGGCGCATTACTGGCGGCTTTTCGGCCGCTTCACGCTATGGTCATCGCGTTTGGCCGCGGCGCGGGGCTCACGCGGGACCTCTGCCGGATCTTCTGCGGCAGAGGTCCCGCGTGAGCCATCGTAGAAGGCTGCGCGCTGTCAGGCAGTCGTTTCGCTGTGGCGGCATCGCCCTTCCTGGAAGATCTCAGGCTTGGATTAGATGTTGCACATCGGGGGCTATTTCGAGCATGCGCAGATGATATTGGAGGCATTTTCTCTGATCGTGCCGATCTTCGCTTCCTCCGCCTAGTCATGACAGTTGCCGAGAAGCTTGCGAATATGAAGCTCAAGTCACCCAAGTGCGTGATTGTCCCGCGCGCTGGTGCGGTTAGCCTTGCATTGGTTGCTGCAGTATCGGGCTATTTAGAGCTACACATTTCAGATTGGAAGGCATCCAAAATAGACGCTACACCATTACACTTGAGCGTGTGGCTTGGGCCTGGTGTCTCGGCGATGCTTTAATGGGAAGTGCTCCGGGTCACATACCGCTCCAGGGTGGCAGCGCTTGTTGCATATTTTGCACCAGCATCTCTGAACTTCATCAGCTACGTGACAAGGGCGCTCCCGACGATGGGATATGTGGCCCAATTCTTGCCACTTCCTGCTCAGCTACAGCAGTTTGATTTTCACGTCTTGGTGCGACTCCTTCGATGTCCTGGAGGTGCTCTGCGGTACATCGACTGTTTTTGTCTAGGACAACGGGGTGGTCCCAAGCTGAGCGCTCTCGCGGCGTCGTGTATGTCTGCTCTTATTCGGTCGGGGCCGTCCCCACACCCCGAACATGCAGGATACCTTCGTCGTCTTCGCATTGCGGCACCGCGATGGGCCCCGCACAGGTGTCTCGCGGACCTCGCGGGCAATCTGCAACCGCACTTCTGGAAGCTTCCAGCCATTGTCGAGCATCTGGGGCAGGCGACCAGCACCAACACTTCCCCTGGTTCGGCGGCTGCCAAGGCTCCTCTTCATGAGCGCCCTGCTGCTCGGCGATTGGTTCAGCGCACGGCCTGCAGCGCCCTTCTCCACGTCAGGATGCGCCCCTTTTCTGGCGGACGTCACCGGCTGCGACCCCCGCTGGTTGACACCACTCTTCGCCGCTGGGCCAAGTGGCTCCCGTATAAGATCACCGAGCTTCGTGGGCTACCGTGGGCCGCCCTTCAAAAGAAGCTCAGGTCGCCCCCCCTTTGCGTGGGCTTCAGCTACGTTGCGAGGACTCCCTGGCGGCTGGCTGAACTCAGCGAGAATTTCCACTCCAACTGGGCTCCGCTCATGCATCTTCGGGAGTGAGGGATGCAATGGTGAGATTCGTCACGCGTGGCGCGTGACGCGTGGGTGCTCCAGGCAGCGCGCGGCGCTCTTCGCGCGCGCGCCTGCCCACCCTGCCGCTGGGAAAGCTCGTGTCTCTAGGCGGCCACCGTCCCCGCGCGCATCGCTCCAGCTGGCTGCGTGCGACGTTTCGGTTCGCTCCCCGGGGTTGACAGAGATCTTCTGCGTCGCGCGCGGTATTCAGTGGCATACAGCGAGCAACATGTCGCCATCAGGGCACCTGCCCTCGTCAGGTCCTGCTGAAACGGTTGTGGGCGCTCAGTGAACTGACTTATCGAATCGTGGGCGCGAAATTGCACGCCGTCCCTGTTCCTAGCGGCGTCCCAGCGATTGTACTTCGAGGGCTGGGTGGTCTGGGGTGCGGACATGGTTACTGTCATCTTGTTGCGTCGCGCCTTCATGGGGCTCTTCTCGTCTGAGGTGCCATCAGCGAGCGATCGAATGGCACTTAGTTCCGCGATGGTTCATTCGGGCTGGCACAACTCTGCAGTCGGTCGGCAACGGCTGCAGCGGCATCTCTCTGCGCCCTGGCCAGAGCGGGAACGCGCGCGCCGCCGAGCACATGTTGCCCGTGGTGAACAACATTTACCCATCGGTCGTTGAAAGTAGGTATTTTTGGATCCCCAGATTCCAATCTACTTTCAGCGCCTTCCTACTTCCAGAGTCGAGTGGTTTTCCCTCTCCCTTCCTCTTCAGGAGGCGTGCGGAAACCCAATCTATTTCCAACGCCTTCCTACTTCATGTTTCTACCTACTTCTTCCGACCGATGGGTAGCCCTCCGGTACCGAGTGCTGCGTGCTCGTGAGCTTCCTGCGCGTCCGAGGTGCCGAGAGCTCCCCGAGGAGCCTGTTTTTTCGACGCGTGGGCGGTCCACTGCGCTACGATCTCGCGCAGGAAATCCTTAGTGCAGGACATCGAGAAGCTTGGTTGCGCGGACTGGAACCACGAGCACACCTCCCCGACGAGGTCGCGTTCGGCGCCGTCTTCTTTGAGATCCTCACTGGCCTCGGTTGCGCTGTCCTCATCGAGTTCACACCCCAGCCCATGCGTGCATCTTGGCGCGCCCGCTCCCGTGCCTGCACTTGGTGTCCCTGTTCGTGTCCCAGCCGGGCCTTCGGCTTTCGCCCGGAGTGCAAGCTCAGCGCGATCTGGCGGATCGGGTCTCCGTTAAGTTTGGGCTCAGCGTTGGCCCCTTTTCTCTACATGCATGCGCCGTGGGCGGCAATTTTCAGCAGTGGATTGAGTGGCGCGTTCCTTATGTCGCTGATTTGTCGCGGCACTCTTGCGCCCGACCGCCATTGCCCACTCCGCCGCGACAGTCCAGCTCAGCACCGACAAGTGTCAGTAGCAGATGGGAGATCGTGATTGAGCTTTGCATGGGTGGACGGCATTCATGGGCGATCCCGCGCGAGCAGACATGGTTGCGCATCCGCAGTCCTTGGCCGATTCACGACCAGAAGCTCATTGTCATCACCCGACGCTTGGCGCTGGTGCATTTGCGGCAGTGGAGTTGGGTTGCCAACGTTACACGCATGTGCGAATCCAAGCATGAAGACTTCCGCGCAGTGCAAAGGGCTTCTCAATCTGGGCCACCGCCATCGCAGGTTCCGTTCTTTCATCTGCCGCCACGCCTCCCCACCCGCGACTTGTGCAACGGTGTCACGGCCGATGATGAGGGCCCTGATGGGTTCGATGATTGTTTTGACCGCCTAGGGCACCCCATCCCCGCCGATGCCGACGCCGTCCTCATGATCGAATCTGCGGCTTCCAACTGTCGAGTCTGCCCTATGAAGATGATGTGGTGGACCTATCGGAGCATTCCCATCACTTTGGTCGCATTCTATATGACGCAGAGTTTGGGGCCCAAGTGCAAGCTGCGATCCGCCGCTCGCGGGGCGGGCGGGGCGAAATTCCCAAAGATGCGACGGCGGCCTCGTCTAGCGAGCTGCCACCCGGTCTGCATCTCGCCGTTTGCCCTGCCGCCCCCGACAACAGCCGTGGCGATGGCGACTTTGGCGCGGCCATGGCAGCACGCGGGTTCGGCGTATTCTATCTTGGCGGCATCGTGAGAGGGGCGGCCACCGCTCTCGCCAATGACACGCAGGGTGGTTCTTCGACGGAGGCGGGGGCTGTCCGCGCGACCGCAATGCCCGGGATGCCCGGGATGCCGAACAACCCAAGGTCGTTGTCCGAAGTCTCTTCCAGGTCGTCGGGGCGCCTTTTTTTCACCGACGTTTGCAGGTGGTGCGGATATTCCAGTTCCTGAGGACGCTGACGACGAATACTTGCTCGTGACAGCGGCGGCCGACGAGGAACTCGCTGGCGATGATGACGATTTGCAAGTTGACATTCTCTTAGACCACAACGACGACAGCTTGGGTGTGGATGGTGATGATGGGGTGGCATTCACCGAGTTCGTTGCGGCTGTGCATTCGGGCCCGCGACTCGCTGGCCCTGATGTCCACCCCGAAGAGTGGGAATGCGCTGACGGTGAGTGCGGCTTCCTGATCGAGGAGCACGGCGCGGCAGCGGTGCTCCAGCAGTTCCCCGTTCTGCCGAATGAGCGGGTCTCGACCGCTGGCGGCTACAGCTGCCCGGCGTCTGCGGCCACCGAGGCTCTTCAAGCGGCGGCCGCTGCACTGGCCGACTGCGCAGGCCCGAGCGCGGGCAACGCCGATTCTGCAAGGGCTCCCTCGAGGGCGCGAAG